TAATGAAAACCAGACCATTAGAAAAAAGGACTTCAGGAAACGTCGATGGAAAAAGAAAAGCACGACACGTGAGAGTCGTGATCCAGTCTCTGGAACGCCGCTAGAAAAACATCAGAAGGACACAGACTCAGAAGGCCCCCTGCTGGTCAAAGAGTGTGAGAGTTGACCTTTAACCTCTTTGTTTAATTAAGTTGGACTAAATCCTAACGCTTTAGGGAAATGTAAAATAGGGCGGAGTCTTTACTATGATCACACACCAGTCACCGATCATCACAGACTGTTGATCGGTCATCGATTGATGATGGCTGCACATCACTGTAAATGTCTGTTGGAGCCACAAAATGATTTGATCTTCACTGAATGGTAGCACGAGTCTGGAGTCACAGCTGTGAAATATGATCAGAACATCTGGAACGCCTCAGGTCCAAGACCTGTGTGTGTGTGTGTGTGTGTGTGTGTGTGTGTGTGTGTGTGTGTCTTCATTAGTGTTTCCCACCACAGAGCTGCTCCAGACTCAGCCTTTAAAGATAATAAAAATAATAAACGTTTGAGACAGAAGCTCTAACCCAGCTCCTTCTCTCTGTTATTCAAACTTCAAACGGTCTGAGATTTCAGCCAATAAGATTCAAGCGTTCACTGTCGTTAAGTGACAGAACAGAACAGAACAGAACAGAACAGGTGTCATTTATGGAGAATCCAGAAATAAAGATGGAGTGGATGAGGCTGAGGCCGTGTATATACTGTGATACTGTAGGTACGATGACATGAGTTGTTTTTTTCCCCCAGGCTAACTGTAACTGTAACTGTAACTGTAACTATAGTCATCACAGTAAAGACTCGATGATGTCACTAACACTTGAACCAATAAACGTGGCTAAAAAATGTAAAGGTGACTTTTGTGAAGGGAAATTGTCGAAGAAGTTTTTTAATATAATCCTCGTGTCTTTATGACAGTGGAGCTGAATGACCTTTGACCTAAGGATGATGTCACTAACACCCCCCCCCCTCCTCTGCCTCTCCATGTCCAGGCACCTCACCCTTTCTCAGCCCTGCTGTTGTCCCTGTCACCCCCGTGAGATTGGAGCCCACCCATCAGACTGGTTTCGCTCAAAGAAACCGTTCGATTCTGCTGGGACACCCTCACCAGGCGCCCCGCTCCACCCCTGGTCCCGCCCCCTCTACCAGCCCCAGCCCATTATCCGAGGGTCAGTTCCTGACCTGGGACGACCTGAGGAGGACACTGGCCTTCGCCTGGGAGCTCCATGTGTACGGGTCGGCCAGCCTCTTCCTGCTCCTGTGTGGCGGAGCTGCTCTCAGCCTCACTCTGCCCCCCGGCGTCAACTGTCCTCTCCGGAGCGCCGCTGTCCTCTCCAACGCTCTCCTGGTTCTGGCCGGAGGTCTGCGAGCAGCGTTTTTCTTCATCGACCCGTACGGCAGCCGACAGCTGCTTCAGCGGCCGGCGGTCATGATCCTCTACAACCTGCCGCTGCACCTGCTGGTCTGGACACAGGCCGCCCTGGTGCAGTTGGCCTTGAAGGTGGCAGGGGTGCATGTGTTGCCGTCAACCATGGAGCGCCCCCCTCTGGTGGCCGTGCTGGCAGTGTTGCAGTGCACGCTGCTGTTGCCGGCGGACCTGCTGTCGTCGGCTCTGTCGGCCGTGGTGCCCGTCACCCTGCAGCTCCTGTCTCTGTGCTGGGGCCTGGCCGTCTGTCTGGGTTTTCTCTTCTACGTCTTTCCTCGCACGCGCTGCCCGTCTCTGCCGCAGCCGGGACTTTCTGAAGAGGACCGCAGGAAGACCGGCTCCGGCGGCAGGAGGATCGGCATTATCTTCGGCAGAGTCCTGGCCGTCTGTGCCCTGTTAGGGACACTGTGCTGTGGGCTGCACCTCTACGCCACCTTGTGGCTGTATGGACTGCTGGGAGACTGGACCCGCTTCAGCTGGGCATGGTGGTTGGTCCATTTCTGGGCCAGGCTTCTGGAAGTTTCATGGGGGTTTTCACTTCTCCTACTGGGTTCCTGGTTGTTCTGGAGGCCTCAGGGGAGTCGGGAGGGGGAGGAGGGGGCAGCAGAGGGCAGAGCAGCAGGGGAACCGCCCCGGCCCGGGC